CCCCAACTGTTGAAATACAGACCCACAAATTCTGAATTCCTCCAAAAAAAAAAAAAAAAAAAAATACAGACCCATGTACGAACTCCACTGGAGGAAGCAGATGAGTGAAATAGTACTACAATTCTGATTTACCTAGGGCCGGTCAGTTCAAATTATGATATATAAAGGCCGTAGGCCATTAAAGAGAAAGAGAGAGGGGGGGGGAGGGAAAGGGAGGAAGGAGGATGGACTCCATGAGATGGCAACGTTATGGCGTGCGAGTTAGGCAACCTTCTTTTCTTTTTTTCTTTTTTTTCGGTAGCTGTTCTTTTGCTAACATGCTCTGATAATTCTCAGCTTCTATAGATTTAGAATTTGGATTTTGTTTGTTTGTTTTGGTGCCTTCGATGCAGAAAATACTGTAATTGCTCATGTGAGTAACGCTCTCCGTATGTAGTCACTCTCTGTATGTGTGTCGTGCATGATATTCGCTATTCACAACTGCACAAGAAAAGCATGACAATGTCGGACTCTCACTGACTCATCATCAGGAGGAGAATGAACGCCGACAGTCTGCTCAGGACGCATTTGACAGATGGATAAGGACTCACCACGTCACCCAGAGTTAGTGATACCCCGAAGAAAAGTGGTAGACTTCAATCAATCATGAGAGAGAGAGAGAGATGATGTGACCACACACAAGTCCTTCCCCTTATGCTGCGTCCTAAAGACGTTGGCAGCCCGACAGATTGACGGTACGGAAGGTATTCTTCGCGTTACCCATGATCGTACGGTACGTACGGTATTCACTCTTGTAACGGTAAACACTTGAAAGCAAACTTAACTGCCCTTCCTCTGCTCCTCTTCTCATCGTCCACTATCCGCACACCTTCTCCGCCTCCTCCTCCCGGCCTCCCTCTGCTCCCTACCACCTCCTCTAGCTCTTATCCTGGTGATGACCTCCCCTTTCCGAACTCCTCTTCCTGCGCTCCTACCGATATTCTCCTCCTCCCCCTCTCTTTCTGCACGCTTTCTTTCCTCCTCTCCCCCCCCCCCTCCTCCTTCCTCTCCCCTCCTGCACGTCCCCTCGTCCTATCCTCCTATGATGTCGGTTTTCCACATGATTGTCCATGGTTAACAGCGGCAGCGGCTACATTTGAGAGAGAAAGAGAGAACGGGTAGACCCTGGCCCTCTCCTCTCTCTCTCTCTCTCTCTCTCTCTCTCTCTCTCTCTCTCTCTCTCTCTCTCTCTCTCTCTCTCTCTCTAGCGCCAGAAGCAGGATCAATACGATCAACATCAAGAATCAGTCAGCAGGGACAGCAGTTGTTGTATATTACCTTCGATCAGCAGGCTGGTCCAGATCTAACAGTAACCGCAAGCTGCTGTGCTGTTGGCCAGTGATTTTGCTCCACCGTTAGCTACCGCTCGGATCACCAGTTTAAATCCCCTTTTGAAATCGTGATGCATGTGATCCTCTCTCTCTCTCTCTCTCTCTCTCTCTCTCTCTCTCTCTCTCTCTCTCTCTCTCTCTCTCTCTCT